TTACTCTCGAATTCGACGTTTGGAGAAACCACCTTTGGTTATTTACCCACGGTAAATAAAACCCTATTCCCTAGTGATAAAATTTGAACTATTTATAGAACGATATCCGATACAAGCAGTAGTGCACAAAGTACCCCGTTTAACTGTAATACAATATCTTTGTTGTGACTAACGATGGAACCAAATATAAATCACAAAAGGAGACACTTTTTCAAAACGGAATATCGTAAATGACACGAAATACTATATCGATAAGGAACGCAATCAGCCAGGTGTACTTAAACAGAACACTCTGATACTACGACCCAATTTATGGTTATAACCTCATAATTTTAATATTATTAAAATTTCGCATCGAGAGATGGTATTTCCGTGTGCCGAACTTGCCGAAATTATCGAAATTGCCTCGCGAATAGAGATCACGAAACGTCATTGAACTGCAATTCAAACGCCGATGGTAACTAACGAGATATTCAAGAATCAAAGGATTTTTCATACAGCGTCATCTACCCAATAAATGTTTGAGTTTAACCGACTGGAGGTGACATCGCGCGACGTTTAACGTTTTTGTGCAATAGAAGTCCAAAGTCCCACTAGATGGCATAGCTCGAGCAAATTCGACAGTCCTGATTGGCGCACCATCTACACCCGCCAGAGGAATGCGTGTCCACCATTACACCGATTAAGTATTCCGTTGATGAACGAGCCGGTGAGCGAAGAAAACAATTAGTTAGAATTATGAAGAGCGTAAACGCGATCCGTGCATCAGTGAAGCGGTAGATAACAGGTGCCGTGCACCGACTAGAGCCACTTTTAATGACTCGTGTTCAAATCGTATCGTGGGATAAATGAGCCAACACAGCCTCGTTACATCATACCGATTATATTAACGCTGTCGATTACAAGCTCGATTAATTTCCCTAAATGAATCGAGGCGTGAGTCCGATCGAACCAGCGGACTAACCAATTTAAATAAATTGAGCAAAACGAACAGACGTATATAGAACGAGGAGTTAGGGCGAAGGCACTATAACGGTTTAGCAAAAACGGGAACTATGCTCTCGCGATTTTATTGTCAAACAAGTTTTCATTACAATTACGTCAACCTAGTAATTGTCAAGTGAAGTAAGACAGTGCCCAAAGTGGAGCAATGTTCTATAATAATCAGTACTGTCCGCCATATTTACACGCTGTGACAAAAAAGGAACGAGATCGAGAGTGGAGCATGCTTTATTGACTTCCCAGAAGTCCCTAGTTTGCATGGAACTCAACGGGTCCTAATATTCTAATTATAGTACCAGGTACACGATAAAATTACATATAACAAACTATAAATCTTCGAATTTGAAATTCCTTTCCTTTTTTCGTTCTAGAGAAAGACGAAGAGCCGATAAGGATGAAATTAACGGGATATAAAGGACAATTAAACGTCGCAACGTTATTTGCAGCGATGTGATTTTAAATTATACCGACGTATACGGTGACAATTTTTCCTTCAAATCGGTTACTTTCTCGTTGCAGCCTATATGTACGTGCTCGTTGATCATAACAGCGAAACGTCACGCCTAGCCCACTGACGGTCTTCCAAGCGAGGCTGAATCGCCACCGTAAACGCTGAAATCCAACGACGTGCACATGATTCGAGAAACAGAATACCTTCCATATAAACGACACCAATCTACCGAATACGCGGAACGAGAACACGGCTGCAAGCTCGGACGATGAATGGAACCGTGTGAATAAGCTGCGAACCAAGCATGTAATTTGTCACACGCGATCAGTAACTTTACCAAAACTTCTCTTCAATTCCTAAACTAATTTCCAATTTATATTACCACGCTATGCATCACAGGTCGTTCGAGTAACCCATTTCTTGACTGGAAAATAATTAATATCATTGTCGAAGACGCCTCAGCCTCGATCCTCGGTTTAACGTACTCTAAACTTTAAATGCGATTTATTGATGCTCATAGAGCACAGAGTTCCTAAATGGCCACCCGCACAAACAAAGAATGTACACGGATCTACATGTCCTCACCTTGTACCACGAATACACGAAACGTTTAGCTACGACTAATAGTGACCAGGATTTCTCTCAAGACGTTCATGTAGTCGGTTTCAATTGAAATACGCACGAACGAGTAATCTGCGCAATTACCTCACATGCAAATAAAGCATCGTAAAGATGAACGGTGACCCGTCCAGTTGACGTCACATTGCTGCACGAGGATACTGTGCCAGAGATGACATTATACGTCCCTAGCCGTACGACACAAATCTCGAATTCCGAATCCCAACGAGGAAGGAAAAAGAAGGGAAAAAAAGTAAACATGATTTCGCAACCAAACCTGTCTTTCACCGAAAACACATGGATCAACGATTTTCGCTATATTTGACTGTCGTCGTCTAACCTAGCGTTAGAGCAGCCACAGCCTTTGTTCCGGACTTTTATACCGAATTTATCGAGGGTTCCCGCGTCGGTTTCCGCGGTTAATTACCTTCTTAACACAACGGCTTTGTTCACGACGACTCGACGTCGACGCTTTGTTCAAGCACAACGCGGTGAATTACACTAAAAAGCCGGTGCAAAGTCACGTGCGCATTTGCATCTTGTATTTTCCGCAGCACCGAACAACCAAGCTCACAGCGCGAGGAAAGTGAACGGCCATGAGACTAGAATCCCTTTAAATCGCAAACGGGTGACGAACGTTTGGCAAAGGGGATGCAGGAAAAACCGGTCGCAACGCACGCCGTGTAACCATTCTAACTACGAATGCAAATAAACGGATCGTCGGCGACCGGACGCCGTTGACGAGAGGGAAAAGCAAAACAGCCGAAACTTCACACCTGTAACGTTGAGTCGCGCTGCCACGAGACACCCATGCGAACTTCGAAGATCTCCTTGAGAACGAACAGGCACGGACACGCTCGCTCAACCTATAAGAGATATTTTCAGAAGTCGTCGTTTCGTTTCGAAACATTCTATTAGCCTGGCCCTGATCTTAAACTATCTATAATTCGTTAGTTCATGCTCATCACTAACTCATATGTGTCCGCGCGGAGGGTAAGACATGTCAGGATTTTGGTGAAAATTTCGAATAGTGGAGTTGAAGTGACATTCGATTTTACATGGCTCGCCGAACCATAGAGAAAGAAGTATGTAATGGCTTGTTAAGTGGCGAATACCTGACAGATAGGGGAATGTCAAGTATTCGGGGATGACACGAGAAACCGGTCGATAGCTTGTTATGAAAGAAGAAACTTCAAACAGAAATAAGCTTTTGGGATTTTGTATGGTTGCCGAATAAAATAACAGAAAAAAATTCAGACGGTGCAACCTCGCGATTTTCTTTGTGCATCGCCACTCGTATGTTTAACCTTGTATCGTAGGTATTCGATTTAGCGAGACTCGAAACGTTTAATTGCACAAGTGCAAGGACCACTGGGACATTTTGAGACATCTAGGTATCCGGATTTTCATGCGTACGCCATGCAAAATGTCAGTGACGTGTTCATCGAATTTCCACGAAAACGAAAGAACTTGCCTTTAAAACACCGATTAATGTCGCTAGGATCGACCAATATTTACGTATCTCTTTTCACGCTACAAGGAAAAAAAAAACAACAGTAACGTCGAATTTTATCCTGCTGGGAAACGAAATCCGATAAACTAGGCATGTTTCAAACGGTGTACAAACAGATTTCGCGAGATTCGTTTCGGCGTTCAGCCGGACAGAATCATGGGTTATAAGGTGGAAACTGCAAGTACATAAAAAAAAAAAGATAACATCGGTCATCGATTGTCCAAAATAAAAAGCAAAGAACGGTGCATAGAGTGAGGCGCGGTCGATAGGGACTCGAGTGTCCGTCGCAATCGGAGGAGACTCGTTTGGAGGAATTCCAAATCTCTCGTATATTAATGTTTGACAGAATTCGAGAAAAAGCCTTGCTCGGACAGGAAAAGTTATTTCAAAAGCTAATGTATGTAGTTACGAGGGAGTAAAATGGCAACAGCGAAGCTATTATCGATTTTATCAACGGGGACTAGGGGATTCTTTCTCTTGTATGCACGGGGTGAGTCAGAAAGGGTTTGCATAGCGGCGCATCGAGAAAAGCTGTCTACTCACCTTCGGATAACTCAAGATCCAGCTCAGCAAGTTTCTCCCGCACGTCCTCCGGAAGCTTGCCGATGTCGATGTTGAACTCGGCCATCACTAAGCCATCCGTGCCGAGATCACCAATTCTCCAGCCGTACATTCCACGACCCGTCACCACCGCTCGGCCATCTTGCCTTACACTGATGCGACAAACTGCCGTCAGCTGGCGACACCGTTCGATTAGACACCTATCGGAAGAACAGTTGATCCGCAATTGGCGATTACCTGCACTTCATGATAACGCGTTAGAGTACGATTTATCGGAAGACATATTTTTAAGTCGAGCGTCATTAATCTGATATATAAACATTTTTTGCAAAATAAACTTTCGTCATGTAATTATAATATCATCTATGAACTTTTGTCGATGACACTTTTATTTCAATAATATCTAATTAAACTTAAAGTAATTTAAGAACTTAGAATGTTACTTATTGTATAAATAGTAAGTCATTAATTTGCAATAAAAGTATTAATTACTTTATGATGTAATTTCCAAGTACAACGTTCAAAGAAGTTGAACTGATTTAAATACCTCACTACGATGGTTTTTTGGGCAGTTGCGAATTACCGTTACTTTTCATGAATAAGTGTAATTTATTCGGTTAAATGTCATGATGTATTTATTTCCATAAAATAAACTTTATATTAATATCGAATTAGAATCTTTAAAAACCATATGAATGATATTTGTCATATAATATTTTCTTACGATAAACGATCTTATTTACGCGGCATAATTTCGTAGTTTATAAAGATCGTTTAGGCTAACCTGTAGTTTTCGACAGTTTGATAATATACGTATTTATAAATAGTTACAATTCTCTCAGTACTGAAATAAAAATGGAAATATTGGAAGACCCAGTGTTTAAAACAGAATATCAAAAATATAAAATTCGTGTAAAATTATGGGAAAGTCGCTTTACTGAAAAACATGGACGTAAACCGAATAAGGTATTTTATATAATTCCTATTATTCATGACTTAAAATTAATTCAATTACAGTTATTTTTTCCTTATCAAGCTACAATAATAATTTCTTAATCTCGTTATATTATAAAGTAGGATTAAATGATTACTTTTGGTTCAATTTTCTCAAAGATATAGATTCAGCTTTCATATACAGTTTCTATCTTTCTATAATTAAAGTTATTTTACACATCATTTTTCCATAAAATAAGTTACTTCAGTTAGATTTAAATATTTTTCATGTATATTTTCTTTTTTTTTTTCATAATTTTCTACTTCTATAAATATATATACTTTGAATTATAAAACTCATGTAATGACAATGGAAATAAATATCACGATAATTACATCAATTATATTAAAATATTACAAAAACATTATACTATGATAAAAATAACCCTTTAATGTTATAGAATGATATTAAAGAGGCTGATATGAAAATCAAAGAATCTTATAAAATGTATTGGAAGCTGAAAACACGTGCTTTAGAAGAAACATTTACAGATATTTCATTTTCTGATGAAAGAGAAGAAACTACCCCTATTAAATCTGAAATAGAAACATCACCTAAAGAAATTAAAGAAACTGAAGAAGTTAAAGATAATGATAAATCTTTAAGAAATAACAATGAACAAGTTTTAGAAGATATGTGTGAAAAAGATAATAACGATATAGATAAAAGTAATAAAATACAAAAAGATAAAAACCATATAGAAAACACAGATGGAATAAATATGGAAGATACAATTGTAAAGAATATAGAAAATGCTGAGAAAAAAGATACTGAAAATATAGATCCACAAGAATATAAAAATCAGAGTACCATTAATAATATCACAAATGATATTTTAGACGAAAATAAACAAAAAAATATAAAAGGTGTATGGGGCGATCATTTAAGTAAAAGTAATGAACAAGTACGCAAAAAGAAACAAACGTCACTTTTAAATAGATCATCCTCTTTTCAGTTGTCACAAAATAAATTTACAAGTTCAAGCTTCACGAAAAGAAATCCTAGAAAGTCTTTATCTACCACAAAAATAAAAATTAAGTCTGAGAAAGACAATGATAATAACACGATTGAATCAAACTCAAATGTAGAAGAAAATAATGAAGAAGGTTTGGATGTTAATCAAGAAACAAAATCTATGTTTGATGAATCGTCAGTAAAAGTAACATTTGTGGACTTTAAATCAACTGTTCAATCTATTGGTACGCTACAACAATTAAGTGAAGGACATATTATTAATAGAAACTTAAATTCTGGGTGGTTAGATAGGTGTTGCAAACAAAATAATGTGGAATACCCAGCATTTGATTTACAGAGACTTTCTGGAACAAGTGACTCTGGAGTTGAATCAATGGAATCAAGTATTCGATCACCTGCAAAGACATTTGCATCTGAGTCACAAAATCCTCCTCAGATATCAGATGAAGAAGATTTTATTTGCAATAGTGATTCAGAAGAAGAACATAAAAACAAACGTATCAGAAATTGCAGAAAAAGATTTAGTGATCAAGAAACTTGTCCTTCTAAAAAAATATGTATTGAAAATAATACAGATGCTTTAAAATTAAATACAATAGATATGCAACCCATGCATTTTTCCAGTGAAGAAAAGTGCAACAGTTTAAACATTACTAATGTAGCTGTAAGTAAAGGTAATATTATAAATAATAATGTTAATAATCAGACAAAATTGGCTATTGATACTGACAAATTCCCTGACAAAGTAAAAAATGTGCTTGAGATTGTAAATACTAATATTGATGATGAAGAAAATATAGAAAAATCATCTAAAAAAGAATCTATAACTCATAAAATTCAGAGAAAAATGAAATGTGTGACATCTGATGACTTGGATCCTGATTTTAATGATTTTAATGATAGCAATATAAAAGAAACAAAGGGCAAAAAGAAAGTACCAAAAACAAAGCAAACAAGTACAAGAAAGAACAAAACTACTAAAGGATCAACTTCAACAAATAAAACGAAAACTAAAGTTAGAACAAAAAGGTCCACTAGAAAAAAGATGGATTTAGAAGATGAAGAAGATGTCTTAGAAACTGGCAAGCAAGATCTTGAAACTACAAAAGATAAAAGATCTGAAATATATGGAATAGAAACCTTACAAACTGTACCACGTTTTGCAATGTGTAAAAGTACTCAAGGAGATCTTATTAAACAATTTGCTAAATCTGTTTCTTCAAAAACTGACGATTTAAGTTCTTCTACTGTACTTGTACCTGCAAAATCGAAAGGAAAATTAACAGATAAAGAAAAATTAGAAAAGAAAGTAGTAGATGGGAACATAAATGACAACTTTGTTAGAATAAATTTAAAGAGAAAAGTCTTTGTGCGTGGTAAAAAACATTTCAATTTCTCAAAGTATAGAAAGAATCAATGGAAAGAAAGAAAAAAGCAATTGGGATCTAGCGAGGGTAGTTTAGAAGTAGTTGATTTTATTGAAAAGAAAGGTGTGTCAACATGTTTTAAATGCGGAAATGTTGGTCATTTTTCAAGAAATTGTCCAAACGGAAAAGGCGATGATTTAATGCCGTTAAACGAGATGGATGATGATTCGGAATTTCCAACCTTAGAAGAAGCTCAGAAAATGGCTAGTCAAAATGCAATTGTAGCACACGCTAATAGAATGGATCGTTTGCCGGAGAAACCATTATACTCTTTTGAAACGAATTCTGAATCGATAGAAAATAAAATGGAGGACAAAAATGTCGATGATGATTTATGGGAACACATTGAGAACGATGTATAAGCTTATATACTTTAATTTTAATTTCTTTTTTTTTTTTATAGTACCGTAGTGATTATTTCATATTTTATTAAATTTTTAGGAAATCTTATGCGGTCATGAAATTCCCGAAGATTTGGTACAAAAATTATTACCACCGGAAATTGGATTTGTACAGCCGGTGTATAGACTTACAGAAGATGAGTCGTGCATAGGTAATTAATTAAAAGTTCAATCAACTTTACTGACCGACTTTTTTATGCTTATTACATACTCTAATTACAGAAACACCATCTGAAATTTTCGATGTGTTACGAAAATTTGGTCACGATACGTTTAGACCTGGACAAGAAAAAGCTGTGATGCGAATACTTTCTGGTCAATCAACTTTAGTAACATTATCGACTGGTTCTGGAAAATCTTTATGCTATCAGTTACCTGCATATATCTATTCTAAATATTCTAATTGTATCACTTTAGTTATATCACCATTAGTATCCTTAATGGATGATCAAGTAATGGGTATACCATCGTTTTTGACTGCAGCTTGTCTGCACACTAATCAAACTCAAAAAATAAGAGATAATGTTATGAACATGGTAACACAAGGAAGACTGAATATTTTACTAATTTCTCCAGAAGCTGTAGTAGCTGGAGAAAAATCAACTGGTTTTGGAGCTTTGTTAAGGCAACTTCCACCAATTGCTTTTGCATGTATAGATGAAGCACATTGTATTTCACAGTGGTCTCATAATTTCCGTCCATCTTATCTTATGGTTTGTCGAGTACTTAAAGAAAAATTAGGTGTCAAAACGATTTTAGCTCTTACTGCTACTGCAACAAAAACTACCGCAGAAAACATAGTAAATTGTTTAGGTATACAAGATGGAATGGCGGGTGTTATCTCCGATATTCCAATGCCTAAAAATCTGCTATTAACAATTTCTAGAGATGAAAATAGAGATCAAGCTTTAATTAAATTATTACTAGGTGAAAGATTTCAAGAATGTGACTCGATTATTGTTTATTGCACTCGTCGGGAAGAATGTGCAAGAATTGCTGCTCTTCTAAGGGTTTCTTTACAGGTATTTTACTTTCTGCTTTGGTGACTTAATTACGTCAACGAATAATAGTATGATATATTTGTTTTTTTAATAGAATGTGAATAATCCAGAGAAATCAAATAACAAACTATCGCCTATCGCGGAAGCGTATCATGCTGGTTTATCGGCTTATCGTCGAAAAATTGTACAGAAAGCATTCATGAATGGCCAAACTAGAATTGTCGTTGCTACTGTAGCTTTTGGTATGGGTCTCAATAAGCCAGATATTCGCGTTGTTATTCATTACAATATGCCAGGAACCTTCGAAGGATATGTTCAAGAAGTTGGAAGAGCTGGTCGAGATGGACTTCTAGCGCATTGCCATTTATTCTTAAGTCCAACGGTACTTGTATTTATTTTATATAATCAGATTTACTATCTGTTTGATTTGTATTCATCTGAATCATTATTTTTCCATTTCAGGAAGATAATGATAAGTGGGAATTACGTCGACATATTTATGCAAACGGAGTAGACAGGCATACAATTAGACGTTTACTTCAAAACGTTTTTGTCCCATGTTCGTGTGCAAAGTTACGTGAGAAAAACGCAAATTGTAGATGTCCTGGTCATGAAGTTGCTATACCAGTTGACGAAACTGTTGCAGCTTTAGATATTTCAGAACAATCAATTTCAACGCTTTTATGTTACCTCGAATTACATCCTAAAAGATTTATTACTGTTCTTTCATCCGTATATGTCAGAGCTAAAGTTTCAAGTTATGGTGGACCTCAAGCATTGAAACAAGCTGCTCAAACGGTAAGTGTGCATAATATACACTTCTACAAAAGTAGACTTCACTTATCTAACTTCTTAATCAATTTTTCAGTCACCACCGCTCGCAATGGCAATAGCAATGGATTTACAAAATGGTATTTCTCATGAAAATGATAGCGTTATTGAATTTCCCGTTGTAGATGTAGCATCTGCTATTGGTTGGGATAGTGGTGTAGTAAAAAATCATCTTAAAAGTTTGGAATGGAAAACAGGTTTGTTTTAAAGGATAATTCTTAATATATGTATGAAAATAACACTGACACACCTTTTTCAATGTTTTCCTTAGTTAATGGAATTCCAAAGCGTTCAGTAATTTCGGTAAAATACGATACACTTGGTTTAAGAGTAAAAGCTCCAGGTGACTTGACAGAGATGGAACAAGATGAAGCACTCGATGCTTTATTTAGCCGTGCTCAGTCTCAAGAAACTTCAGCTTTACGGCAACTCGAGACAATTGGTATTACACTTCATAAGTTCAGTGTACCATCTGTAAAAGAGTGTCTAACATTGACTGATGAAATGACTAACAACTCTGATAAATTAAAAGATGTTGTTCGCGATTATTTCGACGGAAAAGTTCTATTCGACATAGACTGCAAGCAACAGGTATAAATTTTTTCATGGTATTAAGTTTATATATTTTTTAATTAAATTGTACATCGTTTAGTAAATATTATGAAAGCAAAATACATATATAATTCTAATTTTTTTCAGAATAAAATGGAGAATGAAGCGCAAATAGCCTGTGATGTACGTAACTTAGTTCTAAGTTATCGAGACAATAATTTCACTGGACGTGCAGTCGCTCGAATATTTCATGGCATACAAAGTCCAAATTATCCTGCTTATGTATGGAATAAATCCCGTTTTTGGAGGGCTTACCTTTCATATAACTTCAATACTTTGTGTCAAATTGCAACAAGAGAAATTTTAGCTTTACGTTAGAGCGACTGTTTTCAATGTTTTTAAATAAAATTTTTAATAAGCGCCACATCATAGGCATGCTATAACTGTTAAACATTACAAAAATTTGGACGTTATGGTTATGTTTATAATTTATGAATGCTTGCGCTGGACGACATTCGAAAGATGTATTATACGTCTGAGCAGTGGGTTCTATTGTTCTATTCATATTGACTTTATATTTTTATTTAAAAAAACATAAAAAGTAAAGGTTATATAACTCTTTATTGTTTCCATAACAAGTGACAAAGTTCATATAGATAATAGTATACAAAATATTTACTCGGACGTGCCTTAAAAGAATAACTTATTTTTTTACATTTATAGAATAAACTCGAATATAAATACTTTTTTTAAAAAGAAGGTAATGCGGTGACTATTTACTTTTATCATTGTTGTAATTTTAAAATGTAACAATAATAATTATACATTTGTATCGCTACATTATTATTTTTAGTAATACGCATATCCCCAATATAAAATTTTTTTCCTGCACCACTACTACTCTGAATTTTTTTCATTTTTGTTAGTAAATTTAATTAACTTAGAGCAATAAAATCTAAATTAATAGATATTATGAGCAAAGTTGTTACTTTCTTAATAGTAAAATAGTAAAATAGATTTAATACGATATGTTTTTATTAAGGCGATATGGAATGTTTTATTCTTCCGTTTTTTCATTGTGAGTTCAATTTTATTCAGTATTTCGGACAAAAAATAACTTCAATTAATATTCGCAGCGATACTTCGTAACAACGATGACATTTTCACGTTACTACTCTTTTCATATAATTACATTCTCGTAAAAATTTGTGCATACGTATTTGCTGCATTTTGTCAACACGGTTCATACATGTCTCATTTTGACATAGTGCGCAAAATTCAGATGATATCCCGTGAAACGGAGAACGAAAGTAAACATTGGCATCCTTCAACGTTTTATTTTTGTGATGAGCCCAAACGTGCAACGACATCTCAAAGAACATCAATACAGGCAAGAACCAACGGAAACATAGAACAGTCAGGAAGAACAAACAAATTGGATTTACTTGGCCAAACGACGTTCCAACGGGAACAGGCTCCAAATCCATTAGATTCTCGCTTTTCTTTAAGGAGCCATCTTTAGTTGATAAAGTTTCCTTCACTTCTTTTGGTATCTGAAGAATTTTTATTGAATAACATTGCTTTAATTATTTTCTTATTATTGTACGAAACATTTGTAAAACATCATTGTAAACTTCAATTTTAAACTCTAATAATTTTCTTCAAACATTTACGTATTCCAATATGTAGTAATACATGAAATTATGTAATTCGCGTCTATAGACTCATTACGATTTTATAATACTACTATTTCCAAAGCAAAGAATGAACGTGTAGTTTACGGTAATGGTTCGAAATTATTACCTGAAAACGTATTCTTCGACTTTTGGCAGTTCCAATCACGTTTATCTCCGGCTCTCCCGTTTCGGCGTTATTTATCGAACTGACAAGTTGTTGAATCTCAGATTCGGAAGCTGGAACAATAATACTCTCGCCGGTTTCTTCGTCGACGTAGATTCGGTCCATTTCCTCGTCAGGGTTAGTATTCAAAAGAATGCGCGCAGAAACGTATTCGACGTAGTCCCCTATTTAGTGAGGAAAACAGAGTTTAATGTATTCGGATGTATAGTCAGGTCCTCGGGGTCACTTCCCGGATGCAAAGTTCTGCACGATTTTTTTATTCTAATGATTAGATACCTTAGCGACAATGTTTTCCTGAAACAGATTAATTGATTATCCTTTGTTAAATTTTTCTTATTATTTGTATTAATCGGTTGAAGTTAATTAGCTAACTTTAATTTAGTTTCAGCCGACGTATAAATATTGTTGTGGATCAATGATTTTATTAAACAACAAAAGAAAAGATCAAATGAGAAAGGTTAACTTTTAATAAACGAGAAAGAAAAATCGGACACTAACTAAAAGTATATAGGAAGTTCCTAAAAACCCTAGGAACACCAAACGATAGGAAAATAATTTGACACATCAAACGAAGTGTTCAACAGATTCATCCCACTTTATGTAAGTATACTATAAGCACAATGGATTCTATCCTATTGAACCTATTAACGCATGTTCATACTCTATCGCACTTAGAAATTATATACAATGCTCACATCAACAGTTACCTATCGATTGATATAATATACAATCAAAAAAAAAATAATACAGTATTTCTACAGTATGTCTAGTTATTAAAACCATTCGCAAATGCAACGCGATTGTATGCATAAATATGGCATCAATTGTAGACAAAATGTACAATAAATTATGAAAACCACGCCCAATTAATTTAATCTTAATGTTTAAAAAGTTAATTTTTTTTGAAAATATTCAGAAATATTACGTGATGACTTAATACGACCTAACGGCGAATAAAAACCATTCGGGTAGTAAAGGTTAAAAACGAAAATTACAAAGTGCAAGTGAAATTTCTGATATTACGAAAAATCGAACGCTAGTCGAGTTAATCAACAAGAAACTATCGGAAATACTGAACATCGTAAAAATAATAGAACATGATAAAAACTTTTGTATAAAACCAATAAAATATGCATTTGTATTGTGCTACTTTTATACGTTGTACCAATTATTTACTTGTTTAAGACGACCAGCTACTAGCATTGCTGTCATCGTTAACACCTTGAAAGCATGTGCACCAAGTACAACCGCATTTTCTGCAAGAATCTACAAGATTGCAATTTATTGTAGGTATATCAAATGATCCCAAATAAAATTTCCAGTCTATAGGTTAATTGTTATTTTATTTTATTCGATTGAAGATTTTCGGTATAATAAAAATATCACCTTCAATTGTTTCCAATGTATAATATGTAATAATGCAATAAAATATCGTGGCTATAAATATCAAAATTGATTTAAATAAAAATGGTGACGAAAGATGTCGCATTTCTGTATAATACTAAAGAACAGATATATTATTATTATATTTTAATTTAGTTGTTTTATTTAAAATATGACCTTATATAATGATGCATGAAGATTAGACGTTATAAGGACTGGATTCTTTCTACGAACAAGGCTCTTCGTGAAGATCGCATTATATTCTTAACATCATTTAATGATAAAGCCGGAAAGTCCGTAATTAACTCGTAACCAAGAACATAATTACTCACGCCATCATAGAACAAGAACTCAGGTTTTTTAGTCTATTAAGTTTATCGTATAATCGAAATTACATTATTTCAAAAGAGTAAGACATAGGGTTTAGGGATAGCTGGAAAAGCTGTTGGCAACATTGCAAATGAAACACGGACGTTCGATAATATCATATTAAAAATACTGAATATTTACGTGAAGAATATTGCAGGAAAGGTGCACAAGCCAGGTGCGTGACTAATAGGACATATAGCAATTGGTTACGATTACGTAGAGAATGATATGCTAGGTAATCAAAATTTACGTGCACTTGAAACTTCAAAACAATATTTCAATATTGCATCTTCTAGAAATCAAAAGTAAGATGAATTGTGATTGTTTTGCGTCGTTTCATTGATAATTGCTAAAATGGGTGATAAATAACTAATTTTTCAATTCATATTTCTTTATAATAATATTAATGTTAGTAGTTTACATACAGGATAAAGTTGATTTATGAAAGCTATAATAATGTCAGTAAATTACCAGCAAATAGATATGTTCATATAATAAGAAGAGTGTAAGTATAAATCAAAGATACATTGATAAATAAAAGCAATTTTAATGATACACATTTGATTATTTAAACTTACTTGATCAAATAAAAATCAATTTTTAATATTAAATAAAAATGTAAGAGGATAAGAAGACTTATTTATCGACAAACGAAAAAAGAAATATGATAATGTTAACGGGAATTTTGATTAAAAATGAAAAATTTATGTTTAATGTGTATCAAAAAAATACAATAATAAAAAAATATAAAATTCAATACCACACACATAGACGCTAGAACGATCGTAAATCTATTCTTTGATAAGAACGTAATAAATGACTAACTTACGGGTTTATGAAAATCTAAATTCCACAGAAGAAATATTTCGTTTCGGCATTACGTGATTTCATACCTTAAAGAAATACAAGGTTGAAGTTTACGTAAAAAGCACTGCATTAGCAACAAAATATAAGATATTGTAACAATCACACCACTAACGCCTATATAATTCCACGCACATCTGTACTTCAACTGAAGGTATACGCCATGATAACCTGTAACTATGCGAACTGTAGATGGGCGTGTTTACCAATGGCAGGAGTTGTCAGAGTAACGTATGAATATATTTCAATATCAGTCTTCAAAGGTTTCTCACATATAGATAAAGATAACTTCTATCATATTTTATTTTGGTAATTAAAGATATTTTATCTGAAATTTACGGAAAGTCAATAGAGATTTACAGTGACGTAATGGAAAGGTAGCAGAACCCTCTCTTGATATTTTTAAAACCAAAAGCTTATGTACAGGAAATCTTGATTTATTTGGCACGAAAGTATTTTTTTAAATATATTTGATATAATAAAATCGATGTATGAAGCATTTATTATTTTGTTATTAAACAATAATACATTTCAAGAAAGCTCTATACACAAAATTTTTCGAGATGATAACGTTGTCAACGATGTGTTTTAGATTTCTAAGAATTACAATTGGAACATATAGAAACATATTTAACTTACTCAAGGTAATAACAAGTTTGTAGTAATTATTTAAAAAACTACGAATAAATAAATGTATCGTCTCTATCGACAAAGAGAAATGAGAATGTAGTATCTTACATTATATCACGATGTATAGTGTAGACTAACATTCTATATCTAAGACTCTGTATCACGTGAGTTGAAATACTGTCCTTGAAAAAGCAGAGGTTTTGTAATATCTTCTACAATTTATGGCAATAAATTTAGGAGGCTCGTTTAATGTAATGATCAAAGTCAATAGAACGTAAATAGACGTAAAAGAATTCTCTTTCATTAGATCTACAAGAAGACGTATCACATAGAATGAATCATCCAATAATAAAACCTCACACTGTTCATATGCATTTTTATTATACAGTTAGATTGGTATAATTAACAAATAATTAGTGACCAATATATTTAAAATAAAGACGAGAAAATATCAACAATTATTATAAAATATTATAATAAATAGGTAAAAAGGTACTAGAAGCTTTTAATGATATTCTTAATTTTATATTAAATAATTTTAACGTATGTTGCGTATTAAAGTTATATACTTAAATTTTACAGCATTTAAAATACATGCAATAGTCGATATTAGTAATTATCTTTAATATTGTTATAGATCTAAAATTGCAATATGGATATGAAAATAAAGGGAGTTCGAAAATTCGCTTTGAGTTTCGTTTGTTTAATCGATATGCGATTAGTCTACGGATAATGAGAAGCGGAACGCTCTAACATTATTTTACGATTTCCAATGGAGAATAAAAATATGGATAAAAGCGGTAAACATAAAGCAAGCGAAGACAGTATCACGGATGTTTCCACGTCTAAAAGATCAGAAAAGAGTTCCGATTCGTTAACTACGCTCGATCATTCTCTGAATGATCTAGCATTCAGATTGTGCCGGCAACCACCACGCAGTTACAAAATGTAATTCGAAGTGTTTACACGAAAATTTTGAACTCTACGTAATTTTCGCAAATGTTTATTACTTTATACAATAAAATATATACTTGGCAATTTTGATTCAGAGGAAAGGATGAAATACCTTTTTTCATACCACATAAAAAGTTGCTCGAGAAGATCGAGTACAAACCGGAAATCCGGGAACCGTTGGTAAGCATAAGTTTCAATTTTGTATAAATTGATTTTTACTGAAAAATACCTAAGAAAAATATTTCCATAGACTGGTTTTAGAGCGCAACAAGAAAAAATGAAAAAGCAGTTACACAGACCAAATATTTCATTAATGAAAATGGAAGAAGTGAAAGAGCTATCAAAGGACGAAGGTTTTATCATTTTTTATGAATTTTTTCTAATATTTTTATCTTTAATAAATGTTCTCATTATTTGTTCATCTTTGCGAATCAGATATTGCATCAAGGGAAAGAACTTCTCGGGATTTTCAGAAATACAAGAGGAAATCAGATTTCATTGCTCCTCCACACGTTAATCAGTTAGAGTTAATTCGACAATTACGAGAGGACCCTAAAATAGGATTTTTTTATATGGTTTACGCAGTGGATCGATCTTCAAAATATTTTACTCCATACGCCCTGAAGTGAATAATTTTCTTTTTTGATCTCGAAAAACTTTGAAAAGTATACGAATAATTTATAATATTTTTAGGGTGGTTCAGTATAAAGATGTAGGTAAAACGTACATGACTATCAGTGCCAGTGGTGTAACACAGTACAGTTCAAACGAAATGAGTTTCACTCCTATTGAACAATGGGAAAGAGAATATATATTTTATTTAAAATTGCTAGAAGTATACAATTTCTGTCTGAAATTATATAATTGTTTATTTCATCTTATGGAATATCTTTCTCTTTATTCCAATGTTCTTGTAATTCGGTACTTTTAGATAAGGACATTCATCGTATTTCGAGTGTGGAAAGCTTTTTATGTGTGGAAAAAGTCGGTTAGCCATAGAAAATTTGTGAAGGCGAAAAATTATTTGGAGGAAAATTTGTTTATATCGGATCCAATTCTTAGTAAAGCATTATTAGAAATTAAATCGATGTGCTCGATCTTCCTCCATTCGAGTTTCTTTGATGGCACCGCTGTTGAGACATTGCTACTTTTTTATTTTGTGGAAAAACAGGTAAACGTCAATTGCATTCGTATAAAAACTATCAGGATGACTCCATTGTAGATGATTAATTATTTTACGTAAATGAAAATTATTAACTTTGTTTATTTGTGGCGTATTTTTATATATTGATTGCATATTTAGATCATTTTCAGCGTAAAATTACTGAAAAATTTCTGAAGTCTTCTAGAAATTACAAATACGAAAAATTTTGATGTTGAAAACTAAGAATCATCCTGATATATCGGTATACTCTATATTTGTGATGAATAAAGTGTAATGTTTGATATATTTACTTGCAGTTTGCAAAACTAGAATTAATTAGAGATAAGTTAGATGAGTTTAGAAAGTTAGCAGTAGATATAGTTAACAATGCGTGTCTCGGTGCTTTATTGAAGGCTGGATATACTCCCGATGATTCTAATATAACGATAGAGCAAACAGCATATGGGAAACTCGGTAATATTTTATATATATTTCTTCTAAGAATTTTAGTTAATAATTTTTAATTTTAATTTCACCTGATAGGTGAGTTCGGTGTTGTTAAATTTAAAATGCCGAAGGATGGTATTCTGAAAATGAGTTACATTGAACAAGTGCGAAAAAGAGAAAAGTGTTATAGATTATCTTGGTAAGTCAATGTTCAATAGCGATATTTTACGTTTTATAAAATTTCTACGAATATTCCAACATTAATATGAAAAATAAATCTGTATTATCCAGCTTTATTCACCTGATTGATTATATGCAAACAAACATGATGCACGGCCTTTTACTAAACACGTATAGAGAGCTTATACAAGTCTTGAAGGCTCATACAAGTTTTTTACCAAATGACGATTTAATAGATAACGATGTAATCGATCTTCCTTTGAAAGAAAATCGACCAGCGTCGCATCGGATACAGGTGTGTAATATAATAATTAATAAAAGTTCGCGAGATGAAAAAGATTATTTTTCAGTTGCCGTATTGGGTAGTGGATCTGCTTATTTTGCCATCTTCAGAAATCGTAATGGATCCATCCGAGGACATTTTCCGTTTCGTACTAAAAACGATACAAAACATGTGGGAGGAGAACTTATTTGCTATCAAACCTCTACTCTCGGATCCCTTTTTTCACTCTTTCACGAGGTATAGATGCTACTATTTTTCGTAGACACAGTGTATGAAATATTTCCTCGGAATTGTAAGATTTTCGTTCATTCGAGGCCGATGATCAACCATAAAATAGAAGACCGTATTTGTGGCTATCCTCCGGAAATTCAAGACGTCTTGAAACAAGATCCGATTACGTTAGCTTATAAAGACCAACTGCAGGAAATTTTAGAAAAGAATTTGGATGCTGTAAAACGTTATTTTCAACGGTTCAACGTGATCAAGCAATTCTATTACGAAGATATGACATTCAACGAAGACATTATACGCGATAATCGAGACTGTAAATTATTTCGGGAATGGAGCGTTCGTTACAAGAATGAGTTGGATTTAATCAAGAAAGTCATCGATTTTCAGCCATTCGGTCTTTTCTTCATTCACCTCGAGCGATTTAAAAATGCTGCTGGGACTGCTCCTAGAGGAAAGATAGGAGTCATTGAAGCTGTTATGCCTGGGTAAATATAAAAAGAGGTGTTTTCTAATGCATCATACAGCATAATAACTGACATACTTGTTTCATTAGAATAGGAAAAGCTAGAGTGGATGACTTATTAACCCAAGCTATCGACTCTATTAATTATCTCGAATCTGTCCCTGTGACAACTGAAGAATATGTTTCATACATCAAGTTTGTAGATCAAGCCCGACAAAATGTAGATGAGATGGAATCTCAATTAGATTACGTGAAAGAGCTGTACGATACAATGGAAGAATTTGCTTTTCCTATACCGTCGGTGGATATGGCGAATTATTTGGTAACGATGTTATCTCATATTTGATATCTCTGGTATCTCCGGTATAGCATTGACAAAACTTTGTATGTATGAAAATAGGGCATCGGAAGTCATTTTACTAGTTTACGACTAGTTGTAGAGAAGAGATTGGAAGAGAGGCCGAAATTAATAAACAAATTCAATGCTCAACTTCAGAAGGATATTACAGCATTGAACGAAGAAATATCAGACATCAACGATGAAATAACGGTATGATGCAATTAAATATATTTTGCAGTATTTTATTGCTTGCTTTACGATATTTTCGACAGCAACCTTGGTTATTGGATTATGATAGCGACGTTGACGCTTGCTTGAACACTCTGAAGGAACTTAACAAACGATTACTTACGTGTGCAGCTACTGCGGAGGAGTATCGTGCTCACCAAAGGACATTTAAAGTATACTTAAAGGATATAATAAGCTAAACATTTCTTAATTTTCTAATAAAACTAGTTATATAATCGATAACATTTTACTTTAATTTTAAACAGCTCGAACAAACGAGATTCGATGTCTTAGATCAAGTAAT